GAGGCCGCGCTTGTGGGCGTGTGCCAGCCTCCAGCACGTCGGACGGGGTGTACCCGTGTCGGAGCCGGGGAGCTGTCCCCCCGAGCAGCTGCCGATTAGGGAAGTCACCCTCCATACCAGACAAGGCCTAATCAGCCTGCCAACGATTTCCAGGCCCAGAACGTGGCCACGATGCAGGAAAGATGATCCCCGAAGACGAGAGCCATTTAAATCCTGGCACTGACCACGGGTCCCCTTGGTAACCTGTATCCCTCAGCGCAGTTTAGCCGCCGAGTTAATTGATGTTCCGCGAGGCGGTCGGCTCGCACCCGGGCAATCGAAACGCGCTCTAATTGCCAGCATCCTTCAGGTAAGGAGCGCGGCGTGTTCTCGCGGCCCCCAGGAGGCCCCGAGCAGGAACTGAGTCTGTCAGCAGACCGGTCCTCTGATTGCGTCCAATTACTCAAACCAGGTTTGCAGAAAGGATTAATTAAGAGCGTGTCAGAGGAAGTCGCGGCATCGGATGTTTCCCGGCAAAGCGACGCAGGCAGCTGCGCCGAAGGTGGGAGGCGGCGCCTTCAGGAAACGTTCTCCAGCTTTCAAAGCTGCCCGGCAGAGGGACAGCTGGTGTGCACGAAAGTCCACTGGATTGGGGGGTCTCCCAGAACCGGGGTGAGCCCCGGGCGTGTCCCTTCACCTCTCCCAGCCAGTCTTTGTCACCCACAAAGTGCCCAGATTCTTGGTGGCACAGTGCGGGGGGCGGGGGGAGCTGGCAGCCAGCAGAGGCCATTTGGTGTCCCCCGGGGTGTCTGCAAAGGCGGGGTGCCTGGGCAGATGTCACGCGGGGTTGCAACCGAAGCTCTGAGATCTGCGGCCATCCCTGGGGTCGGCTTCACAGGTTTGCGCTCCTTGCGTAGCGCCCTGCGCTGCTTGGCTTTGCCCCTCCGCCTCCCTCCGTCCCCTTGGCTCTCACCTCTGTGACAAATGCCAACGGTGGCCTGCGACTCTTCACCTAAGGGCCTTACTGAAGGTGAGCGCGCAGAACAGACTGGAAGGGCCGGGCAGACGGTATCCCAGGAGGAGCCCGCAACCCCTGCCCAAGGGAATCGGAAGACATATCTATTTCATCAAGCGAGACAACTCTGAGGCAAGGGTCCCCCGACAGCATGGAGCCCCACCTGCCCACACGACAGCCCAGCAAACAGGAAAAAAAAAAAAAAAGCATTTTAGGAAAGCAGGAGGCGGGAAGGGTTAACCCCAGGGCTGACATCCAGCTCCTCTCGCTGCTGTGACCTCCCAGGTGCACCAAGCCAGACTCCGTCCGTTCAGCTTGGTCAGGACCTGGGCACTGCTTGGCTCACGCCTGTCTCGTACCCGTTGTTGAATGTCTTGAATACTGCTTGGAATTAGGGGCTTACGATATGGTTGCAGGGCTTGGAGAGCAGGCGTACAGAACCCCAAGAGTGACCTGCAAGGGAAGCTGTCCCCTCTGCTTCCAATCAGGAAGCTGAGAAATCGGGCAGTCACCACTGGGATTATTAATGTTCTAAAACGTGGCCGGGCGCGGTGGTTCACGCCTGTGATCCCAGCACTCTGGGAGGCCGAGGCCGGAGGATCGCTCGAGGTCAGGAGTTCGAGACCAGCCTGGGCAACATAGCAAGACCCCGTCTCTACTAAAATTAGAAAGAAATTAGCTGGACAACTAAAAATATACATAAAAAATTAGCCGGGCATGGTGGCGCAAGCCTGTAGTCCCAGCTACTCGGGAGGCTGAGGCAGGAGGATCGCTGGAGCCCAGGAGTTGGAGGTTGTTGTGAGCGAGGCTGACGCCACGGCGCTCACTCTAGCCCGGGTGACAGAGCGGGACTCTGTCTCAAAAAAAATTAAAAATTAAAAAAAAGAAGAGGGGGAGGACCGCATGATGCGCAAGGCTCATCCCCTCAGCGCCAGAAGATGGGTTGGGAAGGGAAGGCAGGGCCCGAACCCTCTTGCCTCCAACCGGAAGGGAAACCCCTTGGGGTCAGGGAGCCCAGGGAAGTCAGGCTGCGGAACTAAAGTAGAAATGTCCCTCAGTTTCCCCTAAAATTAAAAAAATGTAGAACAGAAATGACCTGAGCCTTCAACGTCCATGGCACAAGTACTTCCTGAGCACTGCCTCGCGCGGGCCCTGACCCAGCAGCACGGACGACGGCAGACGCGCGAGAGAAGGGCAGGACGCAGGGTTTCGGGGAGCGGGGGACATGGCGGCTTCTGCGTTGTCCGAAGCGGCGAGGTTTTCTGGGGTAACCAACAAGCCCTGAGATCTCGGTGACTCAACACACACCCACGTTTATTTCCGGCACATGGGAAGCCGGATGTGGTGAGCGGCGCCTGACTGACTTCCGCCCAGTGAGGCCAGGCTCAGACTCCGCCTAGCCGGTGCCGTGCGGGCCCAACACGTGCACTTCCGGTCGCCGTGACCGGAAGGAAGAGGCGAGCGAGGCCCTCCGGCTACAACGGCCTCAGCCCGGAAGTGACGCCCTACTGCTCACAGCCTATTGGCCAGGACCTGTCATGTGACTCCGCCCCACCCAATGAGGAGGCCGAGAGCCGTAGGGCAGGACTAGGCGTCTCTGCGGCGGTATCCTGGGCTGGGCAAGCGGATACGTGCGAAAGAGGCACAGAGAGGGACGTCCGGGGAGGATGAAGGCCAAATGCCCCTCGCATGTGACTTTTTGTTTCGTTTTTATTCATTTTTTGGTTGGAGAATGAAGCCAGGAAGGAACACGAGTGGGTTTCGAAGGTTCGACTCGAGGTCTCTCTGGTCCCGGAGCGCTAGAGCTGGAAACGCCGCCGATCGGGCGTCCGCTCGGGGCGGGCGCGGTGCTGGGAGCCGCACACGGGTCGTTGCATCTCGTTTAACCTCGGACGGCCCCGAGGCGGGACCGTCGTGCCCGTAGTACGGGCGGGAAGACTGAGGCCGTCGTTCGTCCGGGGCCGAGGCCCACGCCCAGACCGTCGCGGCGAGCTGGCGCGATCGCTCGCAGGCGCAAAGGCAAAGCCTCCACTGGCCCGAGGCCGCGGGCTTCCTAGTCTTCAGATGGCCTCCGTTCCGAAGACCAAAGTCCGCCCCGCTCGCCCATCAGGGGAGAAAGCAGGAGAGCGTGGGGCGGGTGTGCGGGCCGGAGGCCGAACTCGTCCGCGCTCGGCTGCAGCTCGGCTTCCCTCGACTGCAAAGGCCGCCTGGGGAGGTCAGAGCACCCCGGAAACCCTCCCCGAGCCGCCTGCGCTCGCTCCCGTGCGGGGCCCACCTTCAGAGGGGTGACCGTTCGCATGTCAGAGCTTCCCGAGCAAGGCAGCCCGGGCGAGCGGAAGGTCAGGCCGGGGGGGGAAGGTCGGAGCTGCACCCCGTGCCGCCGGGCAGGACCCTCGTCTCCGTGTTGGTTCCCGCGTCTGAAGATGGGGAGCTGTCGCTTCGGCGCCCGTCACGTGCGCGGGGTCCCGCAGGGCTCGGGGGGCCTCACTGGGGAGGGCGGGTGTGGCCGCATCTTGCAAACCCCACGTCCTCCTCTCTCCCCGCCTGAACCACCAGCCCCCCGAGGGGAGAAGCGGAGTCTCAAACGTCCTCCTAGTTCCGGCCACCGGCTTGACCCCGGAAGGTGACCAAGGAAAGTTTGGAAGGAAAGTCAAAAAGCCCATCCACCCACACGGCAGTGGGGGGTCGAACTAACCCGGAGTCGGAAGCTAAGCAGATTTTGAAGTTTAAGTCAAGGCCGCAAACTGGCCACGAGTGGGCCACGTTCGGCCTCGGTCCGGTGGCTCTATTTGACCGTGCCTTGGCGTCCTCATTAGCAAAATGGGCATATTAAGGGTAATACCGGGAAGGACTGTTGTGAGAATTAAAAGAATTAATACATGCAAAGTGCTTAGGCCAGCTGCTGACACGTCAGTGTCGTGTCTGTGTATACGTTTTATTATTACTGTTATTGTCTGAGTCACACGCTGTTTCTTGAAGACTTCGCTCTGCTCCAGTCCCCACCACCCCCTGTTGTCCCGCGTCCCGCCTGCTGCCCCGACTGGCCCCGGGAGGGCCGTGGTTGGAGTGTCCCAGCTGTGGCTTGGTCCTTTGTCCTCTTCGTGCCCGTCAGTGAACAGGCTGTTAGGTGACACCGACTGTCCACAGAACCATGGGGGTCCCAGATCTGAGCCAGACCAGCCCTTGCCTTCCCCCCACCCGCCGCCAGTCTGCCTCCCGGGTCGGGTCCAGCTGTGTGGCTTCAGGCAGGCAGGCCCTGGCTTTTCTCCAGGCCTTAGTTTCCCCGGGGATCGAACGGCTCCGGAAGCCGCATCCACCTCCTGAATGTGTTCTGAGATGGGGACAGTCGAGGGGACCCTTCACCCCCCTGGGTCCCCGACTCCCTCTGCGGCAGCGCCGGGAGCTCTAGTCCTGTCCCCTTTGAAGTATCCCTCTTAACGCAGAAGAGGCCCCCACGGCTGCCGCGACAGAACTGCGACCACAGAGCTCCGCGGTCCTCTAGATACGTGTTTTATTGTCACTGATGAGGGGAGGGCCTAGAGGGTCACACGCAGGCCGCGGCTTCCAGGGCGACGATCACATGTTCTCACACACGCTTATCCCCCGCACGGCACAGCGCCACGGGGCGTCCCCAGGCAGAACACAGCTGGGGGCCAGGGCTCTGCACACCCCCAGAAGGATGCTCAGGAAGGGGAGACACCCTGGGTCCTGGGGGTGGGGTTGACACGCGGGGTGGAGGCTGGATCTGCACATCAAAGCTTCAACCCCCCCACCCTCAGGGGCTGGTCTGTCCAGAGCCACCCTGCCCCGTTTGGGGGGGTCCCTTAGAGGACACAGAAGGCCCGTCTCGGCCGGGGCGAAGGAAGGGGAGCCGGCCTGCGGGGCGGGAGGGGCGGGGCGCTGGGATCCGCGCAGAGCAGGGGAAATGGCATTTGAACCCCGAGGCTGGCTTTCTGCTGTCCCTGAAGGAAGTGGGCAAGGCCAGGGGCCGGGGCGCATGTCTGCATGGGGGGCGCGGGGGGACAGGTTTCTGGCCCGGGACCCAGGGAGGAGGGACAGCGGGGATCAAGCAGGGGTCGGGCACACAGGGCTCAAGACGTTCTCAGACCCCGCGCTGACTTTGCGGGAAGCAGGGCTCACGCCTGCAGGGGCTCCCGGACCCAGGCTGCCCGCCGCCCCGGGTGCTGCCGCTGCTCCTCGGCCCCCTGGCCCCGGCTTGGGTCACCCAGGAGCCCGCGCAGGACGCTGGCCCGACCGCAGGCTCCCTGGGGCCCACATGGGCCTCCCGGGCTCCTCCTGCCCGGATGCTGGCGTTTCTCGGCTGTCAGATCTTCCTCCCCCTCCCCCTCCCCCTCCTCCTCCTCCTCGTCCCAGTTCCTTTGCGCCTGGGGCTCCACCAGCCGCCTGCCTGGGTGCTGCCTCTTGGTGACAGCGTACCCGGGCCAAGGGGCGCGCCGGCCGGGGTGCTGCCGCTTGTGCTGGGTTCCATCAGCTGCCCACCATGCGTCATCCTCCCGCCGGCCGGGGTGCTGCCGCTTGTGGGGTCCCCCAGCGCCCCATTCTTCCTCTTCCTCTTCTTCGAGCCCCTCTTCTGCCTCCTCCTCCCTTTTCCCTGGATGCTGACGCTTGGAGAGCCAGTTGGGTGGAAGGATCTGGGACTCTGGGGGAAGAAAGAGGCCAGTGAGGGACCCCTGAGCCCTGTCGTGGGGGGCCGACCTGCGTGCTCACTCCAGCTTTCCCCAATTTCCTGCGGCGGCCCTGAGAGCCGCCGTCCCGCCCCCGCCTGTCAGGGCTCGCGGACGCAGTCACGCGGAATCAGAGGCAGTTTCTCCGGGTCCCACGTCCAGCGCCGTCACTCCCTAGCTGTGTGACTGTCAAAAGTAACTCACACGCTCTCTCGGAACCGGCTTCTCCTCCGTAAAATGCTAATGACAGGACCGAACTAGAAAGTCGTCAGGCGGGTCAAATAGCGTCATGAGGTGTCAGAGGTGCTTAGAATAATTCCTGGCATGTGAGTGTCCGTGACTTGTTCTGTCTGTCACCCAGGCTGGGGTGCGGTGG